ATCACTTTGATTTCCGTTATTATGTCAATTTTGAACTATCTATTTGATAGAAAGATAAAATCTTCCATATCTTTGTGGTTGGATTCTGGAGTATTGTACTCTTCTTGTGAAGCTATAATCCTTGGAGATTTCAAGTTGCCATAATTTGTGGTTTTTTGGTCTGCCCATTTTGCAGCTTTAGATTTCCCTATTTTTTTAAAGTGTCTTTATCAATAACTTAGAAATTTGAACTACTACTTTTACTGCAGATGGTACTATGGTTTTAATGTGACCTTTAGAATTTTCACCTTTTCCAGCTTCCTTAGGTCTAGAGACCTGCTGCTGAGTCAAGTGTTGAGAGCGGGGAACTGAAGGAATTCAGCCATTGGAGTAAATGTGTTAGGGGGATGATTGCTGGTGTTTGTGGTACCAGCAATAGCCCACTTTGTTCAGATCCAGACTTGAGTCTTTTCAGGCTGCTTGTCAGTCAGCTTCAGAACATAGATAGCAGTCCTAAAAGGTTAGGAGAGTGGGAACACATTCTTGTTCCTTTTACTGAGAACCCAGTCTACTGGGAATACCCCAGATCCTTAGTATATTTCTCCTCAGTTAAGGGTGTTCCTCCCTCCCTAGGGTCATAAGCAGAGTGGCAGAACAGTGGTTTGTATGGCACCCTCCCTGCCCCAGACCATGGCCTCCAGGCATCTCTTTCCACTCACTTCTTGTTTAATGAAGCATGAATATGCATGTTCCTTCAGTGCAGTCAGTATTAATCTCTGGTGTCCTTTCTTCTCAAACCACAAAATTCTCTTGTTGTAGTGCCTGAAATATTAATTTAGATGGACCTTTCAGGAGTGACTCAAGTAATCTCCTCAGATGCCATATTCTTGTCCAGGTTTTCAGAACCTCTATAGAAATTTTCCTTTATACTCCAACCCACTTGAGCCCATTCACATTGACTCTTCTCCAAATGGGAGTAAATAAAGGCTTCTTGAATTTTTTTTGACTTACTAAACACCATCTATTTGTCCCACAAATTGAGACCTTTACTCACATTTTTAAAACCTAAAATACAAACTACAACAAAGAATATGCTTTGCATATCAAACTGCCAAGTCTATTTTTATCCTTTTGCTTTTTTAGTTTTGCTTTATTTATTCTCTTTGTTTTGCTTACTTTTATTTTCATTTAAGAAGTGATACCAGAGCCTCACTGGTGGTGCAGGGGTTAAGGTCTCAGAACTGTCATGCTATTGCCAGCCACTGTGGCATGAGTTCAATCCCTGGCCGGGGAGCTAACCCATATGACTCAGCAGACCTCTCCTGTCTCACCTGCTGCTCCCCTCAGCAGGTAATTCAGTGGATCTCCCTATTCTGCTTCCCACTCTGTCTCTGGTGAATCCTCTCAACCCCCTGCACCTCTGGCCTACATCCTAGTTCTTGTACGCATAAATAAATTTTTTAAAAAATCTTAAAAAAAAGTTAAAAGTGGGCCTCTCCTGATGGCGCAGGCAGTTGAGTGCCCCGCTGTGAAGCTGTCTGCAGCCTCTGCTGTGCCAGTTTGATCCTGACTGTCTGGCAAGGGTCCCACATGGCATGGCAGACCTCTCCTGTCACACCCACTGCTCCCCTCAGCAGTGTACTTCAGTCAATCTGCCTGTTCTGTTTCCCGCTCTGTCTCTAGTGAATCCTCTCACCCTCCCGCATCTGGCCTGTACCCCAGTTCTTGTATAAATAAATAAATAAAATCTTTTAAAAAAAAATCATGTATTTAAAAAAAAGTTAAAAGTTAATCATTTAAGAAAAAAATAGAAGTGATTCCATCCCTGGTGAGTTTTCTTCTGAGATGTCTCATATACCACTATTGGAATGTAAATTGTTACAACCTTTAAAAAAAGGAAATTTGGATATGTGGATATGTGGGTCAAAAACTTTAAAATGTTTACACACACTGACACAGTAATTGATTTACAGGAAAATGTCTTAAGAAAACAAACAAACAAAAAAAACCACAGGAAAGTATTGTATGCGTGGCATTTCATTAGAATACCCAATGGTGTGAGATTGATTAATTAAATTTTATATTATTCACTGGCAGGAATATTATGTCCATCAAAGTCATTTTCTGATATGTTATCAATGTATAATAAATTTTTTTAAGGTCTTTCTAACTGATTTGCTGCCTGGATTAGCTGATTCTCTCTGCGCCATCTCTGATACCATTCTGGTTGACATACAATGAGTGCTAAGCATTCTCCTTATTTTTACTCCTCTTGTTATATTTTAGGCTTATCAATATTCAGATTGCTTCAGAATCTGTTTATGCTCATTGGTGTTATGACACTAATATATAATCTAATTAAATATGGCATAAATCATGGATATATGAATATAGAGAAATACCAGATTTTATTTCCATGAAAACTAGTTTGAATGCTTTGGAGAATTTCAGTAAAGGTGAGTTGCTAAAAATATCATTGATGAATTAGATGAGGGCAAAACAAATGAAAAAAATCTTGAAAGCCTTTCATAAAGATTATTGGTATCTAAGTTTTTATTCTTCAAAAAGAAATGAACAAAGGAAAGAAGGAAGGATGGAATGAAGGAAAGAAAAGAGAAAAAGAAGAAATAAAATAGAAAATCACAGATGATACATTTTTATGTGATTTAAATGAGAAAGAATGTGGAATTCTAATAAGTTGGTTCTACATTACATGATTAGTAAATGATTATATAACTATGCTTTATAAATTAAAACAAAATATTTGCAATGTTTTTAATGATGCCGTATCCAATAAGAATTTTACAGTGTTCTGCATACACTGTGTGTATGTGTATTTATGCATAGAAATGTACCTATCATACATGATAACAATGAATGGTAGCAGTGAATAACAATGAAAATTTTAACAATGAATATCTCTGGATAGTTGATGTGTAGATGCTTTTTATACTTTTTTGCCTTTTCCAAATTTTCTGCAATGAGCTTATGTACTTTCATACTCAGAAAAAAAATCTTAAACTCATGTTTTCAAGAAAACAACCAATCATTTTTTTATATTTGATAAATGTAAGTTGTTTTTTTTTTTTACTTCGGAGGAAAGAAGATCTGTAATTCCATTCTGCAAGGTAATTCATTCAAGACACCAGTTCACTTATAAATCAGTGTAGTTATCACTGGCGAGCCAATGAAATTATACCTTGGTCAGTTTCCTTAAAAATATTGCCATAATGTGTTACATAGTTCTGATGCATTGTATTTGAATTTGGTTCAAGATTTTTGTGATTTATTTATTTATTTCCATTGTCTTTGTGTACTAAAATATACATTAAATTTCTTAATTTGTTCATGTAGCAAGTATTTTGTTTTATCAAAAAGAATTCTATGAAGTTATTTAGAAAGTCATGTACCTAGAAAGACATCAATTTTATTTGTTGTACATGTGAATGGAGCAGATTACACATTACCTATTCTTTTTAATCAGTTATACCATTAATAATTAGACACTTTTATATTTTTTTCTTAGATTTCCCTTTATACTTTCTTTCTCTTTTTCATTTTCTACCTCCTTGCCTTAACCTAGTTGCCCCCAAAGCACTAAGCATCATTTGATGTCATGTATTTCTTCGAACATTACTTGTTTTTCCCCTGAGAATGTGAAGTCTTTGGAAATCAAGGCTTTGTCATGTTTCTGGCAGTATATCCAGCCCCCAGAAAATGCCTTGCACACAGCAGACATTTAATAAACTTTTGTTAGATAAAGGGATTTTACAGAAGGCAAGGTTGTTATACTTTAGAAAATAAAATAGCCAATATCAATATACAAAAATCAGTTGTTTTCCTACATGCAAAAAATAAAACCCACAAACTATTAGAGGAAGAAATCAAGAAAACAATTCCATTTACAATGGCATCAAAAAAATTAAATACCTAGGAGTAAACTTATTCGAGGGGAAGGACCTTTACAATGAAAAATATGACATTGCTCAAAGAAAGAAAAAGACAAAGCAATGGAAAGATATCTGCTGCTCATAGGGTCAAAGAATTAAGATTGTTAAACAGTCCATTTTACCCAAAGCAACATAAGATTTAATGCAATCCCTATCAAAGTGCAATGACATTCTTCAAAGATATAGAACAAATACTACTGAAATTCATATGGAACCACAAAGGACTCCAAATAGCCAAAGCAATTCTGACAAAAAAAGACAAATGGAGGTATTGAATACCCAGACTTCAAGCTGTGCTACAGAGCTATAATAATCAAAACAGTATGATACTGGAACAAAAACAAATACATAGATCAATGGAATAGAATTGAAAGCCAGAAATAAACCTCCCCATCTATGTACAGTTAATTTATGACAAAGGAGCCGAGAGTATAGTTTAGAGAAAGGTAATCTCTTCAATAAATAATGTTGGAAAACTGAACAGTCAGATAAAATGAGTGAAAGACTGCTATGTCACACAATACACAAAAATTAACTCAAAATCGTTAAAAGACGAATTACCTATTCTTTTTAATCAGTTATACCATTAATAATTAGACCTGAAACTATAAAATACATAAAAGAAAACATAGGTAAAACACTCCACAAAATAGGCTCCCATGATTTGTTGATTCAGATTTGTGGATTCTTCTCCAACAAGAGAAACAAAAAGGAATATAAACAATTGAGACTAAACCAAACTAAAATGTTTCTGCACAGTGAAGGGAACTATCATTAAAACAAACAAAATAATTGTACAAAATACATTTGACAAGGAGCTAATATCCAAGATCTATGAATAACACATATAACTTATAAAAAGAAAACAAATAACAATCAAAAAATGGGCATAAGAGCTAAGTAGACACTTCTACAGAGAAGACATAAAGATGTCAAACAAGCACATGAAAAAATCCTTATCATCATTGTCATCAGAGAAATGTAATGTTTAATTGTTATCCTTGCAGACTTCCCATGGTAATGCATGGCCACCTCAAGTTCAATCACTTGCTCTGTTTTTTTCTTGGGCAGGTGAAAAGAAAGTTACTGACTGCATCATTGATAGAGGAAAGCCAACCTGTGTGCCTTGTCTAGATGGACAGGAGTATACAGATGCAAAACATTATTCTCCTAAATGTAGAAGATGTAGCATTTGTGATGCAGAACATGGTAAGTGTCTTTAAATATAAGAGGGACCAATTATGGTATCCATATAAAACCATTTGCAATGCAGTGTAAAATTGGCAACTATTCTGGTGCTGTGTTGGCATATAGGAAGAGATGGGCTGAGCCTAGTGGAGTAAAGCAGGACCAGGTGCTGAACTAATCACTGGTCTAGACTTTTATGGATTTAGTCTAAGCAATTCTCCCAGACATAGGAGAATAACTTACTTTGAACCCTATTAAAAGCATCTTGATCTATAATCAAAATTGTAGAAGGTAATTTTTTTTAAAGATTTATTTATTTATTTATTTATTTATTTATTTATACAAGCACTGGGTACAGTCAGAAGCGCGGGAGGGTGAGAGAATTCACCAGAGCCAGAGTGGGGAGCAGAGCAGGCAGAAGGACCAAAGTACACTGCTGAGGGGAGCAGCGGGCGGCAGGAGAGGTCTGTGCGCCATGTGGGACCCTCCTCCGGTGGCCGGGGAACAACCAGGGATCGAACTGGCGCTGCAGAGGCTGCGGGCAGCTCTGCAACACAGCGCTCAACCGCTGTGCCACTGGGGAGGCCCCTGTAGAAGGTAATTTTTTCCTGCCTTGGTTTACACTTGGGTAATGGCTCTTGTTTATGTTCAAAAAGAGCTCATAAGTTTGCCAATACAAGGACAGAAAAACCCAAAAAGTGGATAGTACACTGCCGTTTCACTGAGGCTCTCTTTTGCCCTGATGATTCCAACTGGGGTCTATTTTCATAACCTATTTATTACTAACTGCTGTGATTAATGGTCCTCAAATTGATTCTTTAGGCCTTGAAGTAGAAAAAAATTGTACCCGGAATCAGAATACCAAGTGCAGATGTAAAGCAAACTTTTTTTGTGCGAATTCTGCATGTGAATACTGTGGCCCTTGCAAAGAGTAAGTTTAATCTTTCTCTGATTAAAACACTAGATATGCCTTGATAGATGTGCAACTGTGGGAATGAATAAGTTGTCTCAAATTGAGGTGATTTGAGTCTGAAAAGCAAAACAGACAAATCATTAATCACATTTGGAGTTTATTCAGAGCTACTTATGTATAGTCCTCAGCACTGGAGTTTGTGAATAGGACTTGAGTTGGAGGCAGGATCCACACCAACTTTTGACAGTGTGTGCACCCTTGGTACGTGTGATCTCTCTTGTCTAAGACTAATGAGACCAGGTGTGTGTGTGTGTGTGTGGAAGGGAAAGGGTGGCTGTCACTTGAGTCTTTGTTCCAGTAAGATAGTAAGTAGAGTCTTGTGTAGATCAGTACAGATGGATATACATGAATGAAACCATGTGGAAATTGGCTATCCAATCAGGGGTAGAGAGTTGGTCAGTATTGGTCACAGGCCTAAAATGGCATTATTACTAGATGGAATCACTTTGGTTTCCCTACAGAGATAATGTCTTCCTAGGGTGGAAGCAGCACTGACTGAGAGTCAAGAATTTGGGTTCTAGTCTTGCTTTGCCTCCAAGCAACTAGATAACCATTTGTTCATCAAAACATCCAGTTGCCAAAGAGTTATTGAACACATCCTGTGTGCTTGATACTGTGTTGGCTGCTTCAGTTAATGATGGGAGCAAGACACACTCTGGCATCAAAAGTCTTGGACTAGGGACAGAGAGAGACAAAAAAAAAAAAAATCAATGTTTATTGTATGTCAACACCATGTAGCAAGCATCAGAAGAGACTTGTCCTCAGGATGCTGTAAGTTATACAGGAGAATCTTTCATCTCTGCCTAGAAGGATAGGGTAAACCTATGACATGTGTCTTGAGTCTTGAAGAAGAAAAAGCATTACCAGGTGTACATAGATGGAAGAGACATTGCAGGCCAGGGAACAGCAATTGCAGAGAGACAGCGGAAGCGCTTGGAAGACTGGAACTTGTCTTTCATGCTCAAGAGCTTGATTTTAATCTGAATTTAGAAAATCCATACATCTCACTTTTCTCCCAATGAATTGGCTGAGTTTGTGCAGATCAGGTAACCTCTCTTAACTTGAGTTTCCTCACTCATAGATTGCAGAAATTATTCACTTGTCCTATCAACCTCATTTCTGTGACAATCCACAATGGATAATGGCATTATAAAAAAATAGCCCTTTTTTGTCAGTTAGTGTTTTGTATATACATAAACATTTAGGATTGGATTCATGAGTTTCTCCTTAAACTTACAATTCATCTTTTCATCTTGGGATCTTTTGGGAGTAGGGACATGATACCTTTTTTTTTTTTATTCACTAGTAAAAGTTAAGGTTTATGCAGTTAACCTGGTCCTCCCTTCTAACCCCGAGTGTCCAAGATTTGACACATTAAATAGGTACTGTGGGAGAGGAACTAACTTATAAAACAATAAGTTAGGTAGTAGACTTAAATAGATCATAATCTTTTTTTAAGATCTATTTATTTATGCATACAAGAGCTGGGGTAGAGGCCAAAGATGTGGGGGGTGAGAGGATTCACCAGAGACAGAGTAGGGAACAAAACAGGCAGACTGACTGAAATACACTGCTGAGGGGAACAGCAGGCGAGGCAGGAGAGGTCTGCTGCGCCATGTGGGTAGCTCCCTGGCCAGCCTGGATCGAACTCATGCTGCAGAGGCTGCAGATTGCTTCATAGTGCTGTGCTTAACCCCTTGCGCCACCAGGGAGGCCCAATAGATCATAATCTTGTTTTGATTTTTTCACCATAACTCTTTGAGGCAGGTGGTAGTATTATCTCCTTGTTGCCGGTGAGAAAACAGGCTCATGGTGGTTAAGTGAGATGTCCAAGTTCACCTAATTAAGTAATGGGCAAAGCCATACTGTAACTTCATCAGACTGTCAGTGTCCCATTGTTTGAAGAAAATCCTACTTGAGTCTCCTACTCATCCCCTACATATAAAAAGGGGAAACCTCTGCGAGCCACCAGATAGGCTCCCTAACCAGTATTTTGGGCATGGTTGCTGTTTGGCCTTTTTATTGTCCCATAGGACTGCTCTGAAATTGCATTTGGCATTTGAAACGTACAGATTATTACCAATAAATATATTGAGTTTATTTTTTGTTCTATTTCATCCTTTTTCTTAAAAGCCAATATTTTATTACCTTCCATTAACTGGTGGCATTTTAAAACATAGTCATTCTTTGGGATACTTTTCATCCAAACATCCAAATTATGGTATGAATTTGTATCAGCTTTAGGTGCTAATCTAGAAATATTGGGGGAATATGTTTGCCAGAGCTGCAATGAGTAAATTGGCCCCAGGTTTATAATGTGTCATGGAAAATGATCAAGGAATCCATCCCCTAGACTTTTAAAATTTCCTCTGTATATTTTTCTAGGTGTGAAGATGGAAACATTGAGAATTGTACACCAACCAGTAGCACCAAATGCAAAGGTTATTATTTCTTTTTATGATTATATTCTCCTTTTTTCCATCCCCATAGTCAAATATGAAGAGAAGGCAGTCCTTTTGATTCTTTGAGTATTTTGTTTAATGTTAAAGATTGCTTCTTTTCATGTAAAATGTGCAATGCTCCCATCTGCAGGATCCAGACATAACTTGCTGGGGTTGTGTGGCCTTCTGATCCTGGTGCCATTATCTGCGCTAATCATATACCGTAAGTTCTAATTTTGTTCAAACCACACATTGAAGTAATTTGGGAAGTAGTTATTCAAAAGATTTTGGAGAAATCTCCTACCAGGCAAGTAGCTAGTAGGTCACAATTTACATCGTTAAATTCCTACCACTAAATAGCACCCCTGAGAGCTGATAGGAACAAATGATATTATCCCTCAGTTACTGCTTCTGTGCAACTATTTTGGAAGCACTGAGTGAATATTCCTATCGTCCCTATGAACCAGGGTATTCTCATCCAGGAAGCAGCCTAGTTGACCAAGAATCAGAACCAATGCTTTACTGTCCATTGTGTTGGCTCATGTATGAAGGGGACACAAGAAGCAAGGGTTTCCCCTGGAAAGGCATGCAAGGGATATTTGATAAAGTCTTCCCTTTTTGTGGCTTCTCTCCCTTGTCCAAACTTCATGTATATTTATTGTTCCACATTAACTTAAAATACTGTAGCAATATACTTTTTTTTTTTAAAGATTTATTTATACAAGCATTGGGTATAGTCAGAATCGCGGGAGGGTGAGAGAATTCACCAGAGCCAGGGCGGGGAGCAGAAGAGGTAGATGGACCGAAGAAGACACTGCTGAGGGGAGCATCGGGCGCGGCAGGAGAGGTCTGTGCTCCATGTGGGACCCTTGCTGGCAACCAGGGATTGTACCAGTGCTACAGAGGCTGCGGGCAGCTTCGCAGCCCAGTGCTCAACTGCTGCGCCACTGGGGAGGCCCTGTAGCAATATACTTTCTGCAAGGGTTACCTTCGTAAGGCCAGCAGCTGAGTCTAAATTACATATAATCATAATTACTCAAGAGCAGTTCCTTTAAATCATGCATAAAGCATGGAGTAGTGTCAACTTTCGATAACTATAAAACATGCAATTTTTCCTTCTTGAAACAAGCCACTGTTTCATCAGTTCAGCTGAAAATAAAGAGATTGCCCTGCCTTTAGATATACTTTAACTAAAAATAAAAAATGTTTCAATGGTGTAATTGTGCCTGGAGACTCACAGATACTTTCTTCCAACTCTTACTGACTCCAAGGCACCTATTCATTGAATGTGTACCCTTGAGTTATCTGTGAGTGTGTATTTGGATTGCTGGGCATTAAATGCCACTCCACAGTGAGTTGATATGACTTTCCATAGTTTATGCTTCCATGTCTTGCTATAGCTGTGCTACCCACTCCAAGCTTGTGAGGAGAGCTGATGACCAACCAGCTTCATGCTAGGCCGTGTATGGTAATTGGATATCTCGACTAAGATGTAGCATAGCTGAAGAACACTTGACCTAGGAGGGTGGGATTTCTAAAATCAGGACAATGGGTTTGGTCAAATTAACTTTAAATGAATGTTTCCTCCTTCTTTCCTATGCTTCCTTAACATGAGATATAGTCTCACCTGCTTCCTACAAGACTGAGACCTGAGTCTGATAGAAATTTCTTTGATCTTTCAGTCATATGTCGGTGGCACAGGAATAAAAAGAAAGGTCATCATGAATTTGTACACCCAAATCTTGTAAGTGTTGAAAACAACTTTCTTAAAATAAAGTGGTCAGTCATATTTTTAATTGTTTCTTTTTTTTGAGATTTATTTATGCATACAAAAACTGGGGTACAGGCCAGAGGTGTGGGGATGAGAGGAGTCACCAGAGACAGAGTGGGGAGCAGAACAGATGGATTGACTGAAATACACTACTGAGGGGAGCAGTGGGCGAGACAGGAGAGGTCTGCTGCGCCTGTGGGTATCTCCCTGGCCGGGCATTGAACTCGTGCTGCAGTGGCTGCCAATAGCTTCATAGTGCTGCATCTTAACCCCTTGCACCACCAGAGAGGCCCCAATTTTGTTACCTTTTTTAAAAATGGATATTTATTGTGTTCATGTGTGTATGAGTTAAAGGGACATCAAAAATGAATTAAGACATGGTGCAAGTTTATTCAGTAGACTTCTGTGTGAGTAACATTGAGTTGCCAAAGGGCATAATTGAGATTATGCTGAATGTGAATTGAAAAAATGGTGTGACCAAACTCCATCCCCCATGGTGGTGTTATCTCTGCAGAGAGATACCATATTTGTGCATTCTATGTCCAAGTCCAGGTATAGAAATGGCTCTTAAAGTCCAATATAAAGACACAGCTCAACTCTCTCCAGCCACTTGTTATTTCTCTCTTATATCTTTTTCTATTATGGAATCAAAATAATTCAAATAGCAAAAAATATACTGGGAAACTGACCAATCCACTTAGTGAATAGTGATTTTCTCCATTGGAGCCAGAGCTTAGTGGAGTTAGAGCTCTTTAAATCAATATGGCAGAAACCAGTTGGCCCTTCAATAACATAGTGGTTGGAGGTGCCAACACCTGCACTATTTAAACTTCATCTACAACCTTTGACTCCATTTGACTCCCTCAAAAGTTAAATACTAATAGCCTGCTGTTGAACAGAAGCCTTTCCAATAGCATGAACAGTTGATTAACATGTATATTGTTTATATATACTATATTCTGTATTCTTAACAATATTCTTATTATATACTGTATTCTCAAGTAAGCTAGAAAAAAGGAAAGATATTCAGAAATCACAGGCAGGAGAAAATACACTTACAGTACTATACTGTATTTATTTGATATTGTATATTTATTGACATTGTACAGTTTATAGCATCTATTTACAAAAAATAACTGGACTCTCATTTCAAAACTGTGTTGTTCAAAGGTCCACTGTAATTTCAGCTAAAAGTCATTTTTTTGTCTCAGAAATAGAATAGTTACAGCAAAAAAAAAATTTAGAATGGTTACATTTATTCTGTATATTTTTATTTATTCTGTGTTAATAGTAATTTCAGTCCATACCATGAATTCCTTAGATTCCTTGTGTAAAATATAAGACAATGCTGAAACTGTTTAATAAAAAATTGACTTAGCCACTTAATCTAGCTAATTTTATCTATTAAACAACTGATTGTACTTCCTTCAGCATTAAGGACAAATTGAATTACACTTAGAATATTTGAATATATTTTTAATTATCTCTCTTCCAATTTTTTTTCCCTACAGGAAATGTTAGATTTAACAGGTAAGGCTTTTATTATGTTAATTCATAGAGATAGCTTCCTGGATAAAAAGGACATCTTAGATAAAATAATGTTGCTTATTTCAGTGACATAGTCCTTGAGCTCACATTTCTCCTTTTTTTTTTTACTGTCCTCTCTATTATCTTAAAAAATTATTAATTGTTTACATCATTGTTCATTATTAAACAATATTTGCTTCCCCCCATTCTCTCAGGTGTAGTCCCCATAGAGTTTCCTTCCCCTCTGCACCTGTGCACCATCACCTCAGTCCCCTGTGCTCCTCCCTCCCTCCCTCCCTCTGATCCCGCTCCCTCCTCCTCCCCTGCAGTATATCTCTGATTTATAATTGTCTGTTTTTGTTTTGTTGTTTTGTACTGTTATCATTTTTTTTACACTGATGTCTTATTTGGTTCCCCTATATTCCTGCTATAAGTGAAACCATCCAATATTTTTCTTTTTCCTTCTGGCTTATTGCACTGAGCATAATTCCTTCTAGCTCCATCCCCATTGCTGAAATGGCATGAGTTTATCTTTTTGATTGCTGAGTAATATTCCATTGTGTATATATACCACATCTTCTTGATCCAGTCATCTATTTTTGGGCATTTGGGTTGTTTCCATGTTTTACCTATTGTAAATAGTGCTGCAATAAGCATAGGGGTACACATGGTCTTTTGAATCAATGTTTTTGTGTCCTTTGGGTAGATCCCTAGTAGTGGAATTGCCAGATCGTATGGTAGCTCCATTTTTAGTAGACTGAGGAACCTCCAGACAGCTTTCCATAGTGTTTGGGCCAGTTTGCACTCCCACCAGCAATGTAGGAGGGTTCCTTTTTCACCACATTCTCACCAACATTTGTTGTTACTTGTTTTTTTGATATGTGCCATTCTTTTGATATGTGCCATTTTGATATGGTGTAAGGTGGTATATCAATGTGGTTTTAATTTGCATTTAAACCTTGATGATAAGGAATGTTGAACATTTTTTCATATGCCTGTTGGCCATTTGCATTTTCTCTTTGGAGAAAGTCTTTTAAGTTCTTCTGCCTATTTCTTGACTGGATTGTTTATTTTATTTTTGTTGAGTTGTGTGAGATCTTTGTATATCTTTGTGATCAGTCCCTTATCAGTTGAATGGAGTGCAAAGATTTTTTCCCAATCAGTGGGGTGTCTCTCTATTTTGGTTAATGTCTCTTTTGCTGTACAGAAGCTTTTCAGTTTGATGTAATCCAAGGTGTTTATCTTTTCCTTGACTTTCTTTGCTTTGGGTGATGAGTCTTTAAAGATGTAATTGTGATGTATGTCTTGTAGTGTTTTCCTTATATTTTCTTCTATATATTTTATGGTTTCAGGTCTTATGTCCAGTTCTTTTATCCATCTTGAGTTACCATACATTTTTATGTATGGTAAGAGGTAGTGGTCTAGTTTCATTTTTTTTTGCATGTGGTGGTCCAGTTTTCTCAGCACCATTTATTGAACAAACTGTCCATGTTCCATTGCATATTCTTTGTTCTTTTGTCAAAGATTAGTTGTCCATATAAGTGTGGTTTTATTTCTGGTCTCTCTGTTCGGTTCCATTGGTCTGTGTGTCGTTTTTGTTCCAATACCAAACTGTTTTAATTATCATGGCTTTGTAGTATAGCTTGAAGTTTGAAAGTGTGATGCCTCCTTTCTCCTTTGTTTTCATCAGTAGGGGTTTGGCTATTCATGGTGGTTTTTTTTTTTTTTTTTTTTTTGTGGTTCCATATGAATTTCATCAGCATTTGTTCTATTTTTGAAGAATGCCATTGAGATTTTTATTGGAATAGCATTGAATCCGTATATTGCTTTTGGTAGGATGGCCATTTTAAAAATGTTGATTCTTCCAATCCATGAGCAGGGGCTATCCTTCCATTTCTTTGTGTCTTCTTCTATTTCTTTTAACAGTGTGTTATAATTTTCTTTGTATATATCTTTCACCTCTTTTGTTAGATTTATTCCCAAGTATTTGATTTTTTTTGTTTCAATTACAAAAGGGATGGTTTTCTTGATTTCTTCTTCTTCAGACTGATTGTTTGTGTATAGGAAGGCTACTGATTTTTGTGTGTTGATTTTGTATCCTGCTACTTTACTGAACTGGTTGATTATTTTGAGTAGTTCTTCTGTGGAGTTTCTAGGGTTCTCTATGTATAATAGCATATCATCTGCAAATAGTGATCATTTTACTTCTTCTTTCCCTATTTGGATTCCTTGTATGTCTTTCTCTTGCCCCGATTAGGACCTCCAGTATTATATTGAAGAGCAGTGGTAAGAGAGGACATCCTTGTCTTGTTCCTGATCTTAAAGGAAAGGCCTTCAGCTTTTTGCCATTGTAAATAATATTGGCAGTGGGTTTGTCATATACGGCTTTTATCATGTTAAGGTGTGTTCCTTCTAACCCAAGAATTTCAAGGGCCTTCATAAATGGATGTTGGGCTTTGTTGAATGCTTTCTCAGCATCTATTGATATGATCATATGGTTTTTAATTTTCTTTTTGTTGATGTGTTTGATTACACTGATTGATTTTCATATGTTGAACCATCCTTGTGCCCCTGGGATGAATCCCACTTGATAGTGGTGTATTATCCCTTTGATGCATCATTGGATTCTGTTGGCAAGAATTTTGTTGAGGATTTTTTCATCAGTGTTCATTAGGGAGAGTGACCTGTAATTTTCTTTTTTTGTGCTGTCTTTGTTTGGTTTTGGGAATGTTAGAGGTGATCTTCTCAAACCTTTCTATTTATTTATTTATTTATTTATTTATTTTAAAGATTTATTTATTTATGCATACAAGAGCTGGGGTGTAAGCCAGAGGTGTGGGGGGTGAAAGGATTCACCAAAGACAGAGTGGAGAGTAGAACAGGCAGATCCACTGAAATACACTGCTGAGGAGAGCAGTGAGCAAGATAGGAGAGGTCTGCTGCACCATGTGGGTCACCTCCCTAGCTGGCCGGGGGGATTGACCTGGTGCTACAGTGATTGGGGATAGCTTGATAGTGCTGTCTTTAACCCCTGTGCCACTAGAGAGGCCCCTCAAACCTACTTATTTTATAGATGAAAAAAGAAGATACAGAGATGTTATATATCTTGCCCAGGTCATAAAGGAGAAATCAACATGGTCTTCAGAAATGGGAATTTCATTTAGATAAACAATTTTTCAGAGGCTATTCTTTATTTTTCAGACATTGACCTGAGTAAATATATCACTACTATTGCTGAAGAAATGAAAATAACTGAAGTTAAAGAATTTGTTCGGAAGAATGGTGTCAGTGAAACCAAAATAGATGAGATCAAGAATGACCACATCCAGGATACAGCTGAGCAGAAAGTCCAGCTGCTTCGTAATTGGTATCAAATTCATGGGAAGAAAGATGCATGTGGAACTTTGATTAGCAATCTCAAAAAAGCTAATCTTTGTCTTCTTGCAGATAAAATTCAGGATCTAATCTCAAAGGACATTGCTAATGAACGCAAGCATGCAGACTGCAAAAATGATCCTGAAAGACAAAACTTGGTCTAAAATGAAAAGAAAATAACTTCGTTTTTTGTATATGCATTTAATGGAAGGAAAAACTAGTGTTTAGTAATCCCTAGTAACTCTATTTTATAAATATTGCTTGTTTTATTAATGGGTATATTTCTTGTTTCTTTTATTAGATTTGTAGTGGTAATATGTTTACAAGTTTCAAGGATCTCATGATTGCACATTTAAGGATGTTTAAAATCTAGTTGGGGAGACATGGCTAACGTAATGACATGTGAAATACCCAAAGGATTGTAGGCAAAGGACAAAGATTGGGACCATCTTCTGGTGTTGAATATGTGCTTCTGGAGGTATGAATGTATTTAATGTATATAGATACACATCTCTAGCCATAAGCTAATCCTATCATATGAATTGATAGAAACTGTGACCTTTTGTTGCAATCTCACAATCAAGGGAAAGGCTCCTATGCTTTTAAATTACCTTCCCAGTAATCATCACCCATGATGATTCAGGAGTTTTTACCTTATTTGTAAGCTTTGTTTGCAATTTTGAAAAGACCATATTCAGGGAAAGCTCACATACAATCTGAGCTTTTGAGCAGGACCTCAAAGATCTTTTCATAGATTGTTGACATTTTACTGTGAAGTGTTTCCGTTTAGATTTCACATACAAAATGTAGATTAAATTATAATGCTTGAATATTTTATATTTGTATGCAATTTTCATGGATCAAAATCATCTTTCTCAGGTGTTAAAACATTTTGATCAGGAAAGTCCTAGTAGAGCTTTGTCACCTCTCCACTTTCTCCTCTGTTCTCCTTGGTGGCCATACACCCCCAGTCCTGGAAGGACTGCCAAAGAAATAATGATCCATGAAAGCCCAGCCTGCTATTAGAAACTTCTAGCTTAGTTTACAAGGGCTAACTGCTCTTACAGAAGGTAGCTTTGTGGCATAGCACAAACCCATGACCACCACCAAAGCTAATAAAGTAGATCCCTTTTTTGACTCTGTCCCCCCAAAATGATCAGTAACTGCCTGTGTCTTCTTTCTTACCACAGATTCAGCTTATACATAGCAAAGGGAAAAATCATCATAAGTTTTTAGGAATTGCTCTTGCTGTTTCAGCAGCTTCTTAAACAAACTAGTCCCTCCTCTCACTGCCTCTTCTTTACTTTTATAGCTAAACACTTCTGAAAATTTGCATTAAATAAGAATGTTAATAAATACTATTTATATTTATATAAACATAAAATGAAGATAGTTATAAACTGAAGCAGATACTTAGCTTTCATGGATAGAAGAATTTTTTTCCTTTATCTTTGAAAAATAAATTATAGGGGAAATATTTTATTAAAAAAACATGGTTTTGCAGCCACATGTAAAAGAATAAAACTATACAACTGTCTTAGATCATAGACAAAAATCAACTAGAAATGGATTAAATACTTGAATGTAAGTTCTGGAATCATAAGATACTTAGAAATAAACTTAGGCAAAACACTGTGATATCGACTTCAGTGATCTTGGTGGATTTGTCTCCATCAGAAAGAGAAACAAAAGAGTGTCTAAACAAATGAGACTACATCAAACTAAAGATCTTCTGCATAGCAAAAGAAACTATCATTAAAGCAAAAAGACACTCAGCTGAGTGGGAGAAAATGTTTGTGCATCACGCATCATGTGGATAGCCAAGTTGTACAAAAACCATGTACAAGTCAACGAAAAGAAAACAAAATAACCCAATCAAAAAATAGAAGAACTAAACAGACACTTCTCCAAAGAAACATACAGATGGCCTGCAGGCACATGAAAAATCCTCATTATCATTTGGAGAGAAAATCCTCATTATCATTTGGGAAATGCAAATCAAAACCACCACGAGATACCATCTCACACCAGTGTGACTGGCTTATACCAAAAAGACCAGAAACAACTGTTGACATGAGTGTGGAGAAAAAAGAACACTCTTAACTGCTAATAGGAATATAGACTGGTTCAGCCCTTTTGGAAAACAACATGGAGGTTTCTCAAAATATTAAAAATAAATCTACTGTATGGTCCAGTAATTCTACTCCTAGGTATCTACCTGAAGAAGGGGAAAACACTAGTTGGGAGGGATGTATGCATGCCTATATTCACTGCAGCACTGTTTACAATGGCCAAGTTATGCAAACAACTAAAGTACCCAAAGAGAGATGAGTGGGTTAGGAAGATGTGATATCTATATTACAATGGAATACTACTTGTCTATAAAAAAAGATGAATACTTGCCATTTGTGACAACATAGAGAGGATTATGTTAAGTAAAAAAATAGTTAGAAGGAGAAAGACAAATACTGGATGGTTTTACTTACATCTAGAATATCAAGAAATAAAGGATCTCACAAACCAAATCAACAACAAACCTTGGAGGTCTGACTGTAGAATTGAGGCTAACAGAGGGGGAGAGTGGAGAGCAAGTGGAGCAAAATGGGCTGTGGTAGAGGCCCATGGGTGCCAGAGTGGTGGATGTGGTGCAATGACATATATCTGAAGAGATGGGATCCTACACTTCTGTATCATGCCTGGTGTTGCAAACCAATATTACCTCAATTAAAAAAAAAAAGTCATGGTTTTGTTTTGTCAGGTTATCTCTATTTTTTTATGATGTTTTATTATTTGTGTTTGTTTTCCTTTCTTTACTGCTAAATATAAACTGTGTATGAAGCTTTAACAACTCTTTTATCATTCAGAAAGTGCCTCCTTGTTAAACACTTTTAGTGGTTAAATGATTTCCTCCATAGGTTGTTACTGCCAAGAATACTCCTCTCAAACAGCACATGATTACTCATTACATGAGGATTTATTATGACAGGATTATATGTCAGGCACTGGAATGTGGATAAAACTGTGTATATATATATGTCAATGGAGTGGTTTTATTGGTATGGACACAAGTGGAGATTTTTAAATATTTTCTCCTGCATGTTTTCCATTCTAGCTACTTGATGACCACTGGGCCATCTCTCTTTCTTAAACTTAATATCAATGCTATATTTTATTTGATACATAATTGCCAATCATCATTTCAACATAACAACATAAACAGTATTAATGAGATAATTTGTGTTCATTTTTTATACTAAAATATTCAAGATACAATTTGTATTTTATTTATACATATAAGCACATCTCAGATTGGACTACGACATTTCAAAGCTTCACTAACTACTGTGGCTAGAGGCTGCCACATTCAAGAGCTCAGGTCTGTATCTTTGTCCTGGCAATTTTAACTCTATGTTTGGTTTAGCATTACTGCTAAAGTCCAGTATTTCCTGGGTTTGTTCAATGAACTCTCTTCACTCTGGTTGGCTGAAATGTCAACATCTACCCAATGTCAGTTCTGGAAATTGTTCTATTGTACGTCACCTAGCAGTTTTCAGTACCTGTCTCCTAGAGTCTTACCTCCTCATGTGCACATAGTAGTCAAGCAAAGACCCAAGAGGACCTCTGTACAGATCTCAGGAGCTCTTTTTCTGGGTAACTCCTTTCTTTCCAGTACTCTGTTCTGAACAGCCTGGCGGCCTCTGCCTCCTGAACTCCAGTCTCTGCTCCTCCACTCAACAAGATGGCTGTGCTCTGCTTGGGGTCCTCTCCTGTGCTAAGTTCTGGAAATCACCTCTGGGCAGAAAGTCAGTGATCATAGGGACAATTTGTTTCTCTTCTCTGGGGGATCAAAGTCTGTGCTGCCCATTGTCCTGTGCTGTTCCAACTGTAGGCAGGAGTAGGACAAGTCCCATATGAGTTTGTCTTCATAGCCAGAAGCAAAGCCCTTCTTTGCAAGGTGAAGTTGAGTTAGAAAACATCCTTTGCCTACTCTTATCAGTGCTAGTCTAGAATTTCAGAGTTTTGACAGGGGAAAAAGGGGAAAGTTAAGAAGGTCTTTGGACTTGGTACAATGACTCTTTCCCTTGTAATTTGCACCTGAGCATGGCTGCTCCCATGTCAACAATCACAACCATGCTCCCAAGTTGGAAATGACTCCTTGGTTCAAAATCACCCTCATTATGTTGAAGCTGGGAAGATCCTCTTTTTGGTGGGCATCCTGGGTAAGGATGTCAGATAAGGTTGTTCATGGACTGCAGAAAAGAAGGCTATTTGTACGCGAGGGGGCAGGGGTGTCACAGATCATATAATGGGCCATCCTACCACATCATTTTGACCTTCCTATTGACACACACATGGAGTTCACCTATCTGATTTGCTTAAGCATATTTTAGCTATTGAATCATTGAGTTTCTGAACAACTTCTGAAGAAGGTATGTAATCAATTCAGTTAAGTTTGTTTTTGTCTACTGTCACTTTTAAGGGGTAATATATCTGGGTATAGAATTTCCTCATGAGGTATTTGCAATTTTCCCGGTGGCACAGTGGTTGAGCGCTGGGCTGCAAAGCTGCCTGCAGCCTCTGTAGCACTGGTTCCATCCCCGGCCACAGGGCGAGGGTCCCACATGGCACAAAGATCTCTCCTGCTGCCCTCTGCTCCCCTCAGCAGTGTATTTCGTCTGTCTGGCTGTTCTGTTTCCCGCTCTGGCTCTGGTGAATTCTGACTGTACCCAGTGCTTGTATAAATAAATAAATAAATCTTTAAAAAAAATAAAAACATTAATCTACTGTCCTCCTACATTTATCGCTACTGCTGAGATGTCTGGTGGTGGTTGAACTATCATTTCCTTGCAGGTGATCTTTAATTTTTAATGTTGATAGTTTTTATAGCTTCTCCTACCCTTTTCCTTTGGTGTTCTATAGTTTCTCTACAATGAGCTTCTGTGTGGATTTATATTTCACATTTTTAATTGTACCTGTTTCATTTTGTCTGGCTTTCCTTCACAATTTATTGATTTTATAGATTACATTTTAACATTTATTTCTTTGAGGATATTATACATAATTATTTTAAAGCTCTTTTTAGAGTTGCTTTGTTATCTTTAACCCAGTGATTTCATGCTGCTTTTGAACTTTGGAATTTCTCATGCAATTTCCTTCACATGATTTTGAACTTTGTAAGTTCATTTGGAATCACAACTTTTTTCGTAATTCTTGGCACTCACCACTCCCTATCTAGTAGTTTTGTGTCTCCTTTTACCAGACCATCCAGAGCTCTCAGTTCTGAACTAGGACTTATAGTGTGTATTTATATTATAGTCTTAGTACTCACACCGCTTGGTCATATTAGGACTATCAGAAATTCCCTCTGTATCTGAGGAAAATTTGGCTCAGCTATGTCTAGGTCTTCCCAGTTCCTTAGGCCTCTTCACATAAGCCATAGTCCTAGGCACCGTTTGGCATTAGCTTTTTTTTATAAACTGTCCTTCACAAACCAGAAAGCTCTACCTGGGCCCCTTGTTTTAAGAAGGCATTTTTGTTCCTGCTTCTGGCAGGGCACATTCTTTTTTTTAAAGATTTATTTTTATTTATGCATTTAAGAACTGGGGTGTAGGCCAGAGGTTACAGGGTGTGAGAGAATTCACCAGAGACAGAGTGGGAAGTAGAAAAGGAGGATCTACTAAAATACACTGATGAGGGGAGCAGCAGGTGAGACAACAGAGGTCTGCTGTGCCATGTGGGTCAATTACCTGGCTGGGGATCGACTCAGGCTATAGTGGCTGGCGATAGCTAGATAGTGCTGAGACTTTAACCCCTGTGCTTCCAGGAAGGCCCAACACATTTATTCTTTACTAAATCTAAGGAGTAAGCTCTGCTTTCCATCCATGCATTGACCCAACAAGGCTTTGACTTGTGCCCATCATTGTCTTGCAGTTATTTTCCATTCTTATAGCAAAACAGAATTTTATCCTATATTTTAACTTATTCCTTATTCCTTTCTGCTTTCCTTTTAAAGTGGTATTTATGCATCATTGTACTTGTTCAGATTTGGAAGTAGGGCCCTCAAGAAATGACTTATATTAAACTTAAGATCCCAGTTTTGTCATTAGATGATCAGAAAAAAATGCTTTCTTTTGCAATTTTAAGTTACAACTAGCACTCAAATTTTTTTTGGTTATATAGAGTATTTTGCCAGGACTCAACAGAGAAGGGCAGAGATAGTGGTGTTTCCCGTATGCACCTGAGTTTTATTTTGGCAGTGAATCTAGAGTCATAAAGATCTAGGATTAGATATTTATTGCCCCCATAATTGCAGAAATAAATGAATTAATCTCTGAGCCTTAATTTCTTCATTGTAAAATGAGAATATTGTTTCAACATTTTGGGGGCTTATGATGATTAAATAAAGGGTATATAAGTATATACCATAGTGATTGGCTCTGAACATTTACAGTGACAAAAATCCCAACTCACTTGTTTAAGCAAAATGTTAAGTGAGTGAAAGGGAATTCTAGGTAGGAGAACCAGTGTGTTTTGGGACATCAAACTTAAACTGACTTAAACATTAGAAAAATGTATTACCTCGAATCACAGAAAGTACATAGGTCTGGGTCAGTAACTCACAAGAGTCAATTTTAAATACTCAGGAATATTGGGCCTCCCTGGTGGTCCAGGAAATTAAGTCTTAATGCTATCACTGCCACAGCTAAGTTCGATCCCATGCCCAGGAACTACCCACTCATGGCACAGCAGACCTCTCCTGTCTCAACCGCTGCTCCCCTCAACAGTGTATTTCAGTAGATCTGCCTGTTCTGCTCCCCCTCTGTCTGTGGTAAATCCTCTCACCCCCTCTCACTTCTGGCCTACATCCCAGCTCTTCTATGTAAAAATAAATAAATAAATAAATAAACAAACAAATAAATAAAATACTCGGAAATTTTGTAAGTCAGTTGTTTGACTGCTGGAAACTCAATATTACCAATGGGGAAATAATTACTTTGATCAAAGACTGCTGACTTTGAAGCTTTAAGTAGAAGGGATCAATTTATTATATAGCCAAGAGAATATAAGGGGGCTTTTGCAGCTTTTCCTTCCAGCTTTGATGAGAGGAGACATGTACTCTCTTGAAAGATGCCTCCAATCATCAAGTATTAACTCCACTTAGACAAACACTGAAACTGGACCAACCCAGAAAATACCCTCATTTTCTCAGCTTCAATACCTCCTCCTGCCTTGCCCATATCATCAGTGTGAATCACATCTCTCTTGCCTCCTCTCTTGACTTCTCCTCACATTTGCTTTCTCTCTATCCATCCTTGCTTTTGTCATATCCTTTCCTTCTCTCTCTTTTACCTTTTCTTACAAAGGGAGCCCTCGAGGATGCGAAGAGTGATGATCACCACTCCTCACTCCCAGTCTGCCCCAGGTTCTGTTGCTTTGACTTCTGGAAGGCCTCTTTAATCCATCCAGTGTTGTCTGTGCCTTCCCGGCCATTCCCCTATTCCTGGCCACCTTCTTACTTTGGATTATTGCCAAAGCTTTTCAATCTATCTTGTTTTCACTCTTCTAAGCCCTCTAATCAATTTTCCAAACAGCAGGCACTATGACCTCTCTAAATGGCACTTTTGATTGCTTGGCTTCTTCGCTTAAAAATATTGTTTAAAAATGAACAATGATGTAAAAAATAAAAGTATATATAAAAATAATAAATAAAAAAATAAAAAATAAAATTCTAAAAAAAAAAATCCTCCCCCTTGTTTTTCCGAATAGAATCTACTCAGCTTCCGAAGCTGTGACTCAGCATATGTGCCTGTCTAGCAGGCTCAATGCTTCCCCCTCCCCCAGTCTATGCCCAACCAATTCAAACCACTTTTTGTTCCTCAGTGCTGATATTCTATTCTCCCTTACCGTTACATTTTTGCCTTCTTATTTCTTTCCCCATTTTGCCTAGCTACTTCCAATGCATCCCCCAGGCCTCAGCTTAGCTAACACTTCCTATGCAATCCCATCCTGATGCTGTCTAAACCACTCACTTCTGATGTATTCACATATGATATTACTCTGTAGATAGTTACTCATGTAATTGTCTCTCCTGTGCTAAGTCATAAGCCAAGAGAGGTCAAAAATCATGATTAGCACAGAGTAAGTAGTTTAATCAATGTTTCTGGACTAAATCAGTTAATGAGGGAATAAAAGTTTGCCCTAGTCATTTTTGTTGTTTTGTGAC